GTGGAGAATTGGAAGAATGGATTGATCCAATTGTCAACCACTTTTGGTACTGTTGTCAAGTGGCAGATGGACCCTAAGGGGCTCGACAACTTGCACTTCTACATTCAATTCCAGTGACATTTCTTATCATACCTGAAGCCATAATTTCCAGGTCCAGGTTTATTTTAATTCTTATTGTGTAATGGATTTACAAGCATGCTAGGGAATTGGAAAATTTCAACAGCATGATGACAAAATATGCACCGAAAAAGAATGGCATTCAAGTATGCGTTCAATCATTGTTTTATGAGACTTTTATCTTCTGTGGGGGTAAAATTCATTTCAACATGTACATTACTGGACACTCATGTTTAGAAATGTATATCATTAACACCCAGATGATGCAATCACCAGTTATCTTCTGCTGATTTCCTCACTTTGCAGCTATTTACTTATCAATTTGATGACATATTGTGATGCAATAATCAATTCTCAAATGATATGGCTGATAGGTCTTTTAACTTGTTGAAATTGTTTTAGCTCAGCAAGGTCGAAAAATTTAGCATTTCAGGCTTACTGATTTTACTAGCTGTTCTAAAAATTTGGTGTTACAACTCTTGAGCATCTTATTTTGCAGGTACCCATACTTTACATTGAGAATTCCATAGGCAGTAATAGATCACAATTATCATCTGTTCCGAAAGCCAAAGCTGAATCAAGGGGGGGAACATGTCAGTCATTGGAAATATTTCAAAAGGATGCAGTGATACCATGCTGAGATTGTGAAAGAAGAAAAGTCCTTACATAGTGATAAGGATGCTGGAGGTACGCAGAGGATTCCAAGGCAGTTTTTCTGCAAAACTTGGTGTGGATGAATTCGACCCTAAACAAATTGCACCCACTATCTTCCAGATGGCACGTGTTTATGTGCCATGTGGAAGAAAGACTATCTGATGATGATTTAATTCCTTCTTATTACAAGCGTTATGTCGACGATACGCTTGCAATAATACCTGGACTCGATGCAGCTGAAAGTTTCCTCAATGTACTCAATGGACTCCACCCTAGTATTCATTTCACTATGGAACTTTCCAACAACGATTCAATTCCTTTTATTGGAACGTTGATAACAAAGGACGGCAACAAGCTGGAAACTCAGGTCTATCGTAAACCTATGGACACGGGCCTTTTACTTCATTTTCAAAGTCACACCGATTTGCGCTACAAGAAGTGTCTTATTAAAACAATGGTTCATCAAAGGAATTGTCCTCTACGCATCAAGCATTCGTCGATGAGTGTAGGCATCTAAAATCTCTGTTTCATCGCCTTGGTTACCCTAGTTCTTTGGTGAACTGTATTATCGACAAATGTGATTATTCCTCTACACCAGATACTAAGACAAAATCTGATGAAACTTTAAGAGTCAGTATTCCTTTCAAAGATCAAGTCTCAGCGAACATTGCCAAAAGACAAATGCGCGATCTCAGTTCAAAAATTGGCATTGATGTACAACCAGTCTATTCCAGTAAGAAACTTGAGCAGGACCTAAAGCTTAAAGAAATCAAGCCACGCATCGTAAATCAGCATAGCGTTGTTTACTGTTTTAAATGTGATTTGTATGATTCAAATTACGTCGGATATATGACGCGCCATTTGTTTCAACGCATTGCTGATCATCAATACTCTGCCATTGGTCGCCACCTGAGAGATGCCCATGGGAACATTGACTTACTCAATGAGAGCCAGTTTAGAATGCTTAAAAAATGTGGCACGAAATGGGATTGTCTTGTTTATGAAATGTTGCACATAAGAACAATAAGGCCCAATTTAAACACCCAGAGCGATTCCATTAGGGCCAAACTCTTTGTTTAACTTTTAACGCTTTGTAATTTATTCACCGCTTCATTATATATATACTCGATTTTATTATTCTAGTTCACTTGATAATGACGTTCTGAAACGTCGAAACGTCGTGTTATGCTTTATAATATTTTATCGCAGATTTTTATTGTCAAATAAATGGAATGAGTCACAATTTGTGGTTTCTAAATAACTGAAACAAACTACTGTTATAACAGTATTCAACTTGCTCTGAATCCCATGTATCTGCCATCAGGGGCAAGATACTGTGCTCATATCCTTTGGACAGTACATGCAGGAATCACTTTCCTGTTTCTTCTACCATGTTTGCCATGGCACCAAAGTGCAAATTGACAGTAACCAGCTTTGCGAAAACTTTCCAAACTGAAGTTAAATTCATCAGCATAATTGTCACACCTGGCTTTAATGAAAACCTCAAAGATGTCTCTTTCCAGGCTAATATTTGCAAAAGATGTATAGTTTGTAATGCAAGTAACCCTTTTACAACACAAGTTTTCTTCCTCAATAGGCATAGGTAAGCACAATGTGTACTTGCACCATTCTGATGTCCCTTCTGGGTGCAGGTCTTGGTAATCAGGAACTTCATCAGTTAACCTTTTGGTGAAGTTGAGGCTGCCTCTACCATACCCAAGAGGTGTACCAAAACCATGCCTTTTTTAACAGGATCAAGTGTTGCTATGAATTCCAGCAAGGAACAATCTTAAGACCTAATGTCAGTATACATCAGACAAACAGCAACAAGTCACCCAAAATTTGCTATTACTCCTACTTTCATATTTTGTAGCCAAATATGTTCTAATAATTGTTGTGTAGTTTTTTTCGTAAAAATTTATTTTAGTTTTTGAGAATTGATTTTTTTTGTTTGACTGCTCATATATGCAAATTTTCACCATGAATATTACCCAAGTTGTGTGACCTCATGTAATGAATATACTAGACCTACAGTATTTCTGACAACATAATCCTTTGTTTTATCATCTAAACTTAATCCCCTGTCATTATTGAAGCTGGCAAAGAAATACTTATTTTTTGGTGAATATTTTTGTCTGACATACTTTTCCTATGTCGAAAAGTAGCATCAAAACAAAGACAGTTTTAAAAATGACTAATATGACAGAATCTACTGAGCTTCAAGCTTTTAAAAGACAAAAAGATGGTTACAAGGTCACTGTAAAAGCTTCCTTGTGCATTTGTGTTGTTCTATCTTGAGATGAACTCAAAGTCTGGCAAAATTTACTTGATAGCAACTCTTAAATATACATCATGCGCCTACCTGTTGCCACCGTTAACTGGCATTAATCACTACCATTTGCAAAAAAATCTAACAAAGCACTCTTACCTTGTTTATTTATGATTTTATTAGCTGTTTCGATGATCGTGTTAATTATGCTCTACCACATTCTAGCAGGATTTGAGTTCCAGTTTATACCATATTTACTTGTCTATAAAAAATAACAATCAAAATCGCAGTGTGCATTCTACACAGATTCCATTGTTTGTCAAGAACATGGATTCTAATTAATTGAAAATCTGGATTCAGAAAGCACGGTGTTTGTGAACGGGAGGCCTGGGGAGAAAAACAGATGTGTGAAAAAAATAATGGTTTATACTGGGTCTTTAAAGGGAAACACTGTCGGCTTTGTAAAAAGATTTTAAATTGATACTTCAAATTAATTTTTTCCCCCAATATATTTTGTTTTATGTCTTGATATCTAGATTTACATGTCTGTAATGAAGATACAGCCACACCAAGCATTCAGATATCTTAACTGCATGTATTTATGATCTATTGTAAGTATTATTATTACCATTATTACTAGTAATTATTGCTACAAGATTAAAAACATGAATGTTTAGAGTTTCAAGGAATTTATGTTTCACATCAAGAATACACCAGCAAGATTGTGATGAAAGTGGGCAAGCTGATGAGAATTGGTTCCTTGTCAGCTGCCTAAAAGCAGTAAGTTGATGGGTATTGGTTCCTCATCAGCTGCCTAAAAGCAGCAAGTACAAAGGTAAAAAGAATGTACCTACCATTACTGCTCAATTTCTTAGTTGAAGATATTGCCTTATCTATGTAACAGATGAAAATGGGCGGGAGCCCCTTGGGGGCATTTAAAACTGCGAGCCATCTTAAAGCTCATAAAGGTCAAACACCAATATTTGACTTTCCTTGTGAAAGGACATCATGTCAGAAGATTAGGTTTGTCATGTTCATCATGTGGGTGTGCAGTTGTCACACAGTTTGGAAATAGTCTGCATTCAATCAAAGCAAAGCCACTCCGAAAGCAACACAATACAACAGAAAAGTCTTTAAAGAATGGCAGCTGCAGCACAATAAATCTTCAACTTTAGAAGTTGACGTGGCCAATCTCAAATGCTTAGATATTCAAGCTCTGACTGTTCCACTAAAGCATAGGTTGTCAAGTACATTAAACTTTTGGTTGAGCCAGTTCGTTTGTGAAGGGGCCGAGCAAAATGGAGAATGGAGAGCATTATCTGTGCAATTCACTTTATTTGTTGATTTGTGTGATTAACCATCATTTGAGTGAGACAAGAGGAGAGGATGCATTAGAAGTTCTCAACAAAGCTGACATGATAAAGTAAAGTGTTAATCATTATGAATGTGTAGTGTGAATGGCATCTCAGTGCAAAAATTGAATTGGGTTCTAAATACTATCATTTTATTTTAACAGGTTCATGAGTGCAATAAGTTTATGCAGTTTAAATATGATATTGCCAGAGAAATTATGCTTGAAAGCAGACTTTCCTTCAAAAACAGCTCACTGTTTGGATATTACTTGAGCTACTAGCCTGTTCCAGCACAATGTTGAAGAAAAGTTAGTGTTTCACGATA